GGGGGGGGGTCTTTTCCAGGGGCGGACACTAGGGGGGGGGGGGGCTAATAATTTTGAAAGACTGCAGAAATCTTGTACTAAATAACACAAATCACACTCATACAACGCAATTGTCATCATAATATAATAGCATATGTTTCTGTACATGGCTACAAAACCCTAGTTTTTTACAAAATATGTTCTCAGAACGCTGCAAATGCCATTTCCGGGATTCAAATTAAAAATTTTTTCGGCACGAGCCCCCCTCCCCCGAATATTTCGTAAAGTGTCCGCCAATGGTCTTTTCATTAAAATTCTCAAAAGTTAAATGTCAGTATATGCTGTTTCTTCTGAAATCTACAGATTTTTTAAGCACTTCATGCAGCAACGATCAAAAATACATCATGTTGAATGTTTTCTTTATGGCATTATGCTAACAATCAAATGTTTTCAATTTTTAGTGCTTAGAAACAAGGTTATAAAAACTGAAAAACAGAAAAAAGGAGGAAAAAACACTTTTTGCAACTGTGTGATCAGGCCTTGTGGTAAAAATACCAATTTAAGGAATTTTAAGGAAATCTGAGGAATCTTCGAGCTTTTTCTGAGGAATTCGAAAATTTGATTGTGAGAGCACTGGTATGCACCTCGCGTTCACTTCCGGGTTTTAATCTGGGACGGCTTGTTTGTCTTTTTCGAAGCAAATTTTTGTTTTCTTGTTACCTGTCCATTCCTGTATTGTTTTCAATCAGTTGTCAAGATATGTGCAAGAAAAGGCTATATAATACTGGGCAAGTGTTTCCTGATGAATTAGTATGGACATTCAATAAGTTTTTTGTAGAAAAAAAGTTATTTTTTTGTATTTTGAAAAGTGAACTTTGTTGCATCATTTGGAATAAATACAACAGCTGCAGGCTCGGCTGCAGGTATTGTTTACGAGCTAATTGTAGCCTATTCAATCACGTTTGTCAACTGTTCAGTATAAATATAGCATCAGTGTTTATATTGGTAAAATTTAATACTGTTTACGATAGTTTTTCACGCTGGAAAGCGTTTTTTTGCTTGTCCTACTTTTTGCACTGTTGTGACAGAGCAACTAAAATTGATTGAGTTTTTACTGCTTTTAAGTGCTTTTATTTTTCTATTTTCCCACGTTTTCCTGATTTTAAACAGTTGTTGATATAACTTCAGTTTAGTTTGTTCTAAAATATTTGTTTTGGTGAAGATTACTAGCGGTATTGAAGTGATTATTAACAATGCTTGCAGTTTTGTTGATTTGTTTATGGCGACCGAAAGTATTTGTCGAAAATCAACTCGTCTAAAATTTTAGCGAAATACAAGAAAAACAACCTTGTCAATGGAAAAACTTTAGCTAGTATCATTAAACAATACATGGGGAACAAAATAGGATGATTTTTATTATGCACAGTCTCATATTTTTTTCAAAGGAAGCAAAAATCTGCGACGTTCTAGAGAGGACGTGAAAATTGTATTTTCGCGTCGTGAAATCGTCCAAGACGACGTCGTAAACCAGAAGCTGACGATAGTTGGCGCCAAATGACGACATCCACGTTCTCTTGACGTCCGCGTCTTGTTATCTAAAACCGTCTAATATGAAAAGTTACACTGCGTTCATATGAGACGAAAAGTGTACCGAGATCTCGCTTGTTGACAGGCGAGATCTCGTTGACCAGGATAATGTTTTTTTCCCATATGAACACAACATGCCACAACTTTCCCGCTTAGCGGGAAAACTTTCCGTCCTGTGAGCAACTTTTCTGTTTTTAAAATGTATTTTATTGTGATTTTTTTTAACTTTTCCCGCCTTCCGCGTCACACCAGTGCTACGTCACAGCCGGAAACTTTACCCGGTAAGCGGGACAACATTTCTCCATATGAACAGAGCAAAATTATTTGGCTAGTCAAAATGTTTTATCGCTAATCGGGATAACTTTTCCCCATATGAACCCTAAATGGCCCTAAATGTTCTTAGGTTAAATTGATTATAGTCCTGGGGGCGGTTGTACCAAGGTCGTTAACTTAGTCGTTGATTGGTATACTGTAACTCAGATTAAAGTTCAGTATTTATAAGTTAAGGTTTCTTATGTACTACATACTAGTAGTATGTGGTTTATACCTATAGTTTTACAGCCATTTAGGTATTTTTACAAAGGTTGAAGAAATCACCATCCGGGGTCGGGGGAGATACCATGCTATCCGGCCTTCGTACAACCAACACCTGCCTAATTTAACCAGGATTCAAGAATTCCTGCCAATACATATCCTAGGGCGCTTTCCTTTAACACGGCCAAACCGGTCAGAACGGTCAAATTGTTGAATGATAGACAAAACATTTGGACTTCGGATCCCTATCTGACAGGAAAATTTTGATAACATTAGAATGAGGTCCATTTTCGCTAGATATTTGAGAAACATAGACCAGATCTTTCCATTGATACAGAGAAAAGAATTCGGGTCTGACCGGTCAGACCAGTAAATGGAAGCGCCCCTAGTGTTGCAACTTGTTGGAACAGCACTGCTGCAAGTCTGCTGCAGGTTTGTTACAACTTGTACACTTTATCGTGTGTACAAAAAGGTCGTAAATTTGAGTGATTTTACTCAAATTTTGAGTCAATGTGCATGGGTGTATTATATTGCCCAAGTTGTTGAGTCAAAACACTCGACAGGGATATATTGCAGTGTATGGGAAAGCTAGGAAACAATGTTGCCCCAACAGAAAGCATGCACATGTTTACTTTAGAAATAAAATATTAAACATTTGTGTTATCGAACAGTCCATCTTTACAGCAGGAAATCAAATGTATATTGTTAGAAATAAACACAGCACAAAGAAACATAAATGTTTTCGGGGTAATTTTATTTTCTATACATTACGCCAAACGTTGCTTGGTACGATTATATAACCACTTTTGTATGTTTCCACTTTTGTCCTAGCTCATTTGAAATCTAATTAAGAAAATTAAACAAATTAAGGGATTAGGCTTCACTTTTTACCATTTTAGCCATTTTCGAGATCTTGTAAAAGTGACCAAAAAGCCATAACATTTTATCTGGTGAGCTCTGGCAAGAGGACCTATCGTTCAGTTTTCCTGGTTAGGTCTTAAATTGGGTATATATAGTATATTCTCTGACACTTTGATCCAAGTGAAGTGCAAAAACATCTTCGAATTACATTTCATCGACAAAACGTTCACGGGTTATACGGTTTACTTTTGGTTTTGGTCACATGTTTGACACATTTGAGTTTTCCAAAAATTTCCATCCTAAACTTTGCTCATCCATTTTTAGTCCTTTTTTCACAGTTCAATAATTGGCAAAAAAAGTAAAGGCTAATTAATAACCCTTAACATTTCGTTCATTTTCGCCCCTTTTTTCATTGTTCAAAAAGAGGCAAAAATTGGCAAAAAAGTAAGGCTATATACAGCCTTAACTTTTCGTCCATTTTAGCCACTTCCACCGATTTGCACGTGCATCGGGCTACCGGTGCTCCTTATTGGCGTGTGCGAGTAAAACCCCGATATTGTGAAAAAATGTCTACTCGTCGTATTCAAACGAAACTTTCCACATAAAATCGCTTGAATACATGGAGTGTTTTACTCATTTACTGCTATTGAGTTGGGCGAATTCTGAAGAGTTTAGATATTCAAGTTTTTCTCGATATGAAATACAGAATGTTTGGCCAAACGGCGAGTAAATATATGTACGATTGTTTTGGTTTGTGTAATGCTATAACGGCATTTATGACCCCCCCCCGTTCGAAAGGTTATTTTATGAGGATTTCAACGGTGGCTTTCGTTTTAAAGGGGGTAAATAGTGGCAAATATGTAAGGCTATATAGCCTTAACTTTCGTCCATTTTTAGCCATTTTTTCAATTTTGAAAAAGAGACAAAAAATGGCAAAATAGTAAGGCTATATATACCTTTAACTTTTCGTTTATTTTGGCCATTTTTTTCATTTTTTAAAAAGTGGCAAGAGATGGCAAAACGTAAGGCTATATAGCCTTAACGTTTCGTCCATTTTTAGCCACTTTTTTCATTTTGGAAAAGCGACAATAAATAGCAAAAACGTAAGGCTATAGCCTTAACTTTTCGTCCATTTTTAGTCCTTTTTTATTTTTGAAGAAGGGGCAAAAAGTAACTGAAAGTAAGTAAAACTTACTTTGTAAGTAAAAGCTCAGGCCTTTAATTTTTGGCGACTTAATTTTTTAAATAAAATTTAGTGATGAGAGGTTATGTATAGAAATTAGTATAGGCGAGCACTGAATATTATGGAAGCCCAGGAGGCTCAGATCAACTTTTTATTTTTGTGTTTCAACTTTTCATTTTTGTGTTTCAACTTTTCATTTTTGTGTTTCAACTTTTCA